AGGAATGCCTGTGTTCCCCCGGGTAGGGCCGCGGAGCCTGGGCCTGGAACGCTGCTTTCGGGCGATCTGCACGCAATGCTTATCTGTTAGGTCTTGCTGAGGTCAGCCGGCCGCTGGGAACACAGGCCGAAAGGCAAGTGCTTGTAACTACACTGTGTAAAGTAATATGTAGTGTGATGAGTGAATGCTCTAAAAAAAATCATAATGGTTGAATTTTTTTCTTTGGAATAGGGATGAGGAGAGGTGTTTCTTTTTCTTTTCTCCTGGGTAAATGTTACGTATTTTACTTACAGCATGATTGAAACGTTATTCTGCTCTGGCTGCTCCATGACACTCGGCAACATCTATAGATGCACCCCAAAGCATCTGGACTACAAGAGGGATTTGTTTTGTTTCAATGTTGACTCAATTGAAAGGTAAAGGCAGAATTTTTATTGGTATGTGTGCCAGCTAAGCTTCACCCACCAGGCACCTTATTGAGGGATGTTCCTGTTAATATTTGTGGCATGGCTAGAGGTAGCTGTTTCTGCTACTTTGTTCCAGAGCAGTTTTCTGTGTTACTGCTGTTAGCATCATACTGCTGAAGTGTAAGAAACATCATCCGTGTAATGTTAGACAACTCCTAGGAAATAAACCCCAATACCAGGGCTGTGTTTTGTCTAAGGAATTGCATACCACCCAGGAAAACAACAGTAGGTACAGGAGAGTTCCTTCTCATTTAATCAGAAGAGACTATGTGTATGCTCTAATTGAGACCATGTAAAATGAGTGTGCAGTCTTAGGTAGTACCAAATAGCCCTGGCTGTAAGCTATTAGAGGTAAATATCAGCAGAGAACATCGGGAGAGGGGCTTAAGCAGAACTTAGGGTGAGGTCTGACCTGTGCTGGTCAAGTCTGCTTTTTCCTTGTTAAAGTAGGCAAAAGCAAATCTGGAAACTGGATATGTGCTTGAGATTCTCTTAACTGTCTTGCAGTCAAAAAACTGTCTAGAAAATGAAGGTGTGTTATTTATTGGTTTATAGCACTTAAAAGTGGTCTTAAAAATATTCATCAATAACTATATCCTGAATTAAGTCTCCACACCAGAGCGCTTTTATCCAAGCATTACTCTAGTAAGCAGTGATAGGTTGCCGTTATTTCTGTCTGGGGTAGATTAAATGTTTCTGCCTTTTCTTAAGGTCCAATCTATTTTACTTTGTTTCCAGTTTTTTCCTCTTTCCATAGCTGTGATACTTTGCTTTTTCCACGGCATTAAAATTCTCTGAAACACTAACGTGGTGACAAGATGGCATTTTCTTGCACAGTAATGGTGGTGGCTAGTTCTCCCAGGTAGTGCTACACTGTTCTCAATGTCTACATAACTTTTCACTATATCCTGTAGCACCAGAATTCCTGGCTGTCTCTTGGAGTTCTAACTTTCATAAAGTGATAGTTCTGTGCTTAAAACTGTCTTCATGCCACCATACTGTTTGTTTAAAAGATTACCCAATATAGATTTTTTTGTTGTTGTTGATGGAATCAAGTTTCCACTTTGCTAGTGTATTAGTAATAATCTCATAATCATTAAGAACAATGGATGAGTCCTACATTTGTGTTTTTGCCTTCAGAATGAAAAGTGCATGATCTAAACTGTAGCGTATCAGTTACATTCTAGGATCCTCAGAGAAGCAAGCTCTTACTGATGAAGAGCCTTTAACTATTGAAAGTCGAGCAGTCTTGGAAGACATGCTACAAAGGGTAATATTTAACTTTATATCGTTCTTTGTTTAAATCACCTCTATGAAATCTTAATATCATTGAATCATAGGAAAAGACCTTTAAGATTATCGAGTCCAGCCATTAACCTAGCACTACCAAGTCCAACCGCTAAACCATGTCCCTAAGCACCACATCTACACGTCTTTTAAATACCTCCAGGGAAGGTGACTCTACCACTTCCCTGGGCAGCCTGTTCCAGTGATTCATAACCCTTTCTGGGAAGAAATTTTTCCTAGTATCCAATCAAAACCTCCCCTGGCACAACTTGAGGCCATTTCCTCTTGTCCTAACTATCACTTCTTACTTGGGAGAAGAGACTGACACCGACCTGGCTACAACCTCCTTTCAGGTAGTTGTAGAGAGCAATAAGGTCTCCCCTCAGCATCCTGTTCTCCAGGCTAAACAAGCCCAGTTCCCTCAGCCGCTCCTCATAAGACCTGTGTCCTTAATAGTCTTTTTCATCCAGATCAATTCTGTGGGTTGTAACATATGCTGTAATACTTCATGCTATTAATATCTTGTGTAATGCAAGATTTTCAGTAACTTTTCCTTCAATTTTAATGGCAATTAGCACTTTCTGTTTATCAAGCACAGCTTTAGATTCCTATATCTGTCTGTTAGTAATTAGAAGTTTTGTTTCTAATTAGTTCTGATTCACTTCTCCAGATTTTCACTGAACTTTGTTTTAGTCCTGTCTCTTCTGTCTTTCATGTAAACTAACAATGCTTTTGCTATAACTTTGTATTGAAATGTTACATAATAGAAAAGGTTGACATTTTGCTCTACTGAAAACTTCTGATTGCAGGTCGCAATCAGTTGGGAGCAAGTAGTGTAACAAAGTCAGCTCTGGAAGCTGATGGTTGTCTGGCGAAAGCTGAATGTGTGGATCTGACGCTTACCAAGGTTGAAGACAATTATAGATTTGAGAAAGTATGGAGAGTAATGTTAGTGTTGAGTGAACTTTCAAATTATGAAAGTAGCAGGAGGAGAATCAAACAGGATTGATTGGTGATGCAAGATCAAATTGGACCACTTACTGACATCTACACTTGCTCTTTGTATTGTCAAGTTCTGTTTATAACCAAGTATCTTTCCCTCCCTGTTTACTTCACAGGCAGACACCGTATTAAAGGCTCTGGAGACAAGACTGACTGCTGTTGAATCGAGTATGGCTTCTCTTCACAATAAAGTCTGAAAGAAAGGACATGCAGGAAGTTTAACTGCAGGAGAATGATGTATGTGAACCTTGTCCTTGTAATCCTCTGGAATCTGCAGGAACGTTGCAAAAGCTATGCAAAGAACTGAAGGATACTGGTGGCTCATGCTGTGGTAGAACAATGCTGACTAGGAGTCTTCACCATAAACAAGGAGTTCCTCTCTTTCCTATTAAAAGGATACCCCAGAAAGAAGTAGATTTTTTTTTAATCAAGCTTCTGTAGACTTTTGGTTTATATGTAAATATTTAAATTTTTATCTCAAAGCAAAACATTTATCTCTTAACTTCTCTGCTATTCAATATCTACTGAGCTGGGTGTGCATCTCCTTCCTAAACCAATAAAAAGAAAATCCCGGTGATGTCTGTTGGAACAACATAAGTAATTTTTCGTGTTGCTACAGCCTTTGCTTGACGTGTGCTCAGTCGGGAATGGCACAGTAACTGTACAGGGTGGCTTACTGCTTTTTTGGGCTTTTTTCCAAGCTCAAGGCTAAAATAGTTGTAAAGAAGGCTTTAAAAACATTAGATAAAATGGATTTCCACGCAGTATTTTAGGTCATATGTTTTACAGCTTGAAGATGAGGAAAATAAACAAGGCTGGTAGCGGCACACCTTTATGCAAAGCTTGGTGTGTATTTGAGCAATGAATTCAAAATGCTAATTAAGAACACTTAGCAGTATTTTGTTGGTTTAATACAGATATTTCAGTTATTTGTCTTTGTTTTTCTGTGTATTTAATAGTCAGGGTTTCTTATACAGTGAGTGTTCCAAGTAATTTTTTTTCAATAAAACAAAAGCAAGTAGTTGTAGTCTAAAGGAAGAATAATTTTGAAATGTTTTTTTCTGTTATCATACACTACTTAATTTTACTACTGCAAGTTTTTAAGTCTTATCCAAAAACCTAGAATGAATTTTGCACTGTTCTCCCCCATTAGTAGGCACTGTTTCTCTTTAGAAAAGCTTCTCCCCTCACCTTTTCTCTATTTACAGCTTTGTTTTGAAGTAGCACTCAAGTCTAACCTGTAGTGATGGGTCTCTTATTCTTTCATGTTCAGGTAACTAAAACATTTTTCACTAAAACACTAATCTTTCCAATCAAATCAGTGTAGTTTTTGAGGCAGTTTCTTCTCTTAACAAGTTTTTGAATGCTGGTAAGCAACATAATCCTTCATCCTGGATGTCTGAAGAGAACCATGAACTCTGGCCTTTAATTGAAGGTTGGTTGATGTTTTTCATTGTATATGGATTATGTTTTTGTGGAGAACATTAACAGCTGATGGCCTGATAGGCCTGCCTTTTCAGACATAATGCTTTTTCCATGTGTATATGTATTTTTTACCATGTGTATTTTTCTTTCTATTAAGCACAACTGTGGGAGCAGGGGCACAAGCCCAGAAGGATCTCTGTAGATTTTTTTTTTTGGAGATGAACATGTGGTGAATTTTTTTGACCAAAGACTGTGGCAAGACAACATAATTTAAAAATCTATATTCCAACAAAGTAGCAGCAAAACACAAAGGTACAAAGATAAGCTTGCATGTGTTTCTGATGCTTCCCTAGCCAAATTATTGGCATGTTAGAGGTGGGAGATTGAATAACCTAACATTTATCGACCTGGAGGTAGTTTCAAAGTGGGTTCTTATATTTGTTCAAATATATTATGGAATAACATTTTAGATCTACCCTTGATAGAAAGATCCAGGTTTGCTGGCCTCAAGCAGCACCTGTAGCTTCATTAAATGTGGAGGGCAGCAAGTTCCCTAAATAGATTGACCAGCTGAGTTCCTTCTGAGACTTCTTTAGGTAGATTCCTAGCACCTGTGTCCTATGATGTGTAATGAAAGTAAAGTGTATATATGTAAGCAAGTACTCAAAATAATTAATGATTGCTTATCTTAAGGTAAGCATGTCAATTCCATAACTATCCCTCTTTTCCAGCTACTATGGGAAAAAGACCTGCCGAAGAAACATAATCCCCAGTACGTCCCTAACCTCACAGGCAGAAGTGACTACAAAGAATCTGGATTAGAGGTGTATGTTTCATCGCGGGAACACATAAGGTAACGCATTTTAAAAAGTGCATGTAAAGTAACCATTTTTCTCCTTGGTTTAGTGTTATGGTCTTACGTATTTTTATTGAATACCTGTATTTAGCATCAGTGTATATTTAGAACAATGTCTCTCAGCATATTGTAGGTGGGAGCTCAAGTACATTAACACGGACTCTCTTAAAATAGTGTTTCCACACTCTCCAGCTGCTGCTTTGCTATAGTGTGCAATGAACAGTCTAAATTTAGAATAAATTTCATATGGATGTAGAGATATTTATATCTACAGGGGGAAGTATGTGTGTTTGGGTATGTGTATTGTTCCAAGAAGCTGAAATAATTTTCTTTTTTTGCTGTGAAGCATCTAGCAGCTAGTATCTTGAGTAGTTAACTGGCTTAAGTTTTTCTGTTTAAATGTATAAATGTGTATTTATGGTACATTTGAACAATTTTTAAACACTAGGAAAAGCTGTAGTTCACCAACTAAATATAATAGCGAAGTTTTAGTGTGCCAGCAAGATGTATGGTATATATACAGTCATATGCAAACATATTCTTCCTTGCTTAATAAGCAGTACCTATTATTGGGTGATGGTTCCTTCTATACCCAGTTTCTCAGTTTTGACCCTTGAATACAGGATAAATAGGAAGTTTAATTCCCCTTTGGGGAATCTACATGCCGTATGGTACGCTCCCTTATACTTGTCCTAGGCACTTCGTGCATTGTGCAGTGTGTGCGTGGGGAAGATATACCACTAATTTTGGTGAGTTCTTTAACTTTGTATGCAGTTAAGTATGGCAGGGATTTAAAGTACAGCAGTACTTTATAGCTCACTCTACCCCCTTTAGAAAGACAGAAGACATTTTATGTTATACCTCTGAGGATGAAAAATTGAGGTTTTCGTAATCCTCAATTCAAATTTTAAAGCACTTTCCTGTAACTTGAAAACCACCCCAAAACACTGATAAGAGTAACAAGCAAAACTTCACATGTACAGAATCCACTAGCAGGAAAGGATTGAGGATAGAGAAGATAATACAGAATGTATGTAAAGAATGTTTTTAAGGGTGGATAATGTTGCACGTGTTTTCTGTAGCTTGTTAATAAACATATCACGGAAATGTCAATTGAAGAAAAGTGACAAATGCACAAAAGCTGTTACAGGTATACTAAAAGACCTGTATATGCTTAGGAAAGATGAAAACTGGGAAATAGCTTAGATGATACTGGAGCTTTTATATGCTGTTTTTGAAGGGGGGATAGGGAATAGACAGGTGAGAGATCTTCTTGGACATACCTGTCTACCAAAATATAAGCAGGTCTTGAATGGCTTATCTTAATGTTCTTTCAAAGTACCTAACTTCAGATTTTAATAAGCATGACTCAGACTTTCATTTGTCCTAGTGTTCCTTTTATGACTGTAGAGCACTGATTGCTAGAGTGTCAGTATGTCTGAAATACTGGTTATATTCTTCATCTGTTTCTTTAGCCCCAGGTAAGGTTGATAGGAACTTTCCCACCTAGTGTCTGCTGATGTTCTAGCTACTGTTGCAGGAAAAAAAAGGGGGTTCTTTCTGGTCATAAAAGCAATGATTTGTCTCTTTTCTTATATGCTACAATAGATAAACAGGTAAGGTTGATAGGAACTTTCCCACCTAGTGTCTGCTGATGTTCTAGCTACTGTTGCAGGAAAAAAAGGGGGTTCTTTCTGGTCGTAAAAGCAATGATTTGTCTCCTTTCTTATATGCTACTATAGATAAAGTTTGTATTTGTATTTGAAAGCTGTCCCTAATAGCTTGCTTTCCCAAATCTTTGCCAGGAGTGCTTGTATGACATAAAGATACTGACCAAAGCCTCCATTGGTGGTAAATACCTTGTAAAATAGCAGCATGTCAGCTTTGACAATAGCCCTGTGAATGGCATGTGCTGGGGGGATAAATACGTGCCATGCTTCCATTTTCCATGTGGGCAAAATCTAGCCTGTTCTGGTCCCTAATCTTCTCAAGCTGGGGAAAAGCTGTTGCATGACAGTCGTGTTAACCTTGTAGAAGCATCGATGAATGGGCTGTAAAGTATTTAGCAGTACATATTTGTCTATAAAGGCCTAGGAAACCTGAGGGAACAAATGTGAGGACAATCTCTCCTTTTTGCCCAAGAAAGCGGAGCATCCAACAAGGACAAGGATGGTTGGCAAGCTCCGTGCTGAGTTTGGTACCTAGTGACCTTTCCAGGCATCTTTAGCTGTTATGGATGATGCTGATCAAGCTGCTGAGATGAGGATTTCAAGCCAAGGTGACAGAGCTACAGATTTTGTTGGGTTTTTTTAATTGCACCAAAATTTCAGGTTAGGCTAAGATTCATAAATTAGGTAGAGGTTGCTCTTGTTAGTTTTCCAGACGTAGCACTGTAGCAGAAGCTGGACATATCTTTCTGGGAATGTCCCAAACAGGCAATGTTCTTTGAGAGTGCTAGCTCCTGACTAATCCACATGCTAATTACAGCTCTTGTTTTCAGGAGAGGCCTTAAAGATGAGGGTCTTAAAACTCTCCTGGCTGTTGTTCAGCTGTTGTTTTGGTAATAAACAGTAGAGGTAGGAAAGGTGCAAAAAATAATGTTCTTGTCTGGATGTGATTTCCGCTCTAAAAAAGGTTTGGGGAAAAAAAGCATAGGGAACAGGTAAGTGTGTACTATTTGGCAAGGTGCAGAAGAGGAGAGGACCAGCAGATAGCACTAGCAGTGGGCTGAAAATGGTAATTGCTGCTGTTAAGCTTAAAGCACCCTAGATACACCTTGGGGCTTCCCTGGGAAGAGGCTGAGCAAGCAAGGTGGCTGAAAAGACACAAGGAAAGAAGTGCAAGTGCAAACCAAAACTGCTACTCAAGGTGGGGCATGTTTCACTTGGAGGGAGAAGGAAATGGGGGGTGGGAGGCTGAGATGAAGGTGGAGACACTCCTATGGCTGTACTATGAATGCTCATGAGAAAGGAGAGCACCCGTTGACTGAGGTTTCTAGATCAGGAGGTCAGGGTCCCTGTGTTCCCTACAGAGAGAGAGAGAAAGAGTCTTCTCCTCTGCCAAAAGGTGGCCACCTCCTTTAGAGACCTGAGGTGGGTAAAGTGAAATGAACCATTTGTCCAGAACTCCTGGTGTCCACTAGTGCCCTGCAGGTTATCCACACATAGGCTTTGAGACTCCACTAGCTGGAAAACTGCCTCCATCAATGCCTCTTTTTCCTTTTCAGCTGATAGGATCAAGAAAAGCTGAAGAGCCTGAACTGGAGAAAATATGCCAGAGCAGAACGAACAGAAGGTGAAGAAGAATCTGGCAGGAAAAATCCTGACAGGAAAGCATGATACTGTGCGAGTAAGCATGAAGAAAATAGATGTGTGATTCCAAAAGGAGCAAAGCACCTGAATCTGTTTAGTTCCAGAGAGATCGGAATGTCAGATTCCTTTAGGTCTTGTGTACACAGGCAAACTGACAGATACAGCTACTGGAGAGTAAACTGACACAACAGATTGTTTCTGCAATAAAATAACTTTATTCTCACAAAGTGTGTTTGGGGGTGGAACACTAGAGCAGGCACTGTAGTGCAGGTGCATGTCAAGTCCTCTATATGAACAAGGCAGCAGATTTTGAAAACCCTTCTCACAGGCTTCAGGGCAGGAAAGGATTGCAGAAAATATATTGCATAATTGAAAGGAGAAAGTCAATGAAAATTCTCAGTAGAAAAAAAAACCCAAACAAACCAACCCACAAAAATCCAAGAAGAAAATAGCAAAAGGAACTAAGTACTAGTAGATTTTAATCAATATCTGTATTATCTACAATGTACTGTTAGTGTAATTAATTGCTTTAGCAATCTAGTCAAAATAGTAGCAAGTGGCTATTATTAATCTAGTTACAATGATATCAGCACTTTTAATAATTTTCCAATTATTGCTACTTCCCATTAATAATCCAGTTAGAACTATTGTGGTCTGTGGTAGAGGTCTTTTTTTTTTCCTCATCTGGGCTGGTGCAGCCACCTGTGTTGAGGTTCTTTACCAGGTGATGTGCTGATGATGGTAGTGGGAGGTTTCTTGGGACAGCTCAATTCTATTTCTGCACAATTCTGGGCAGCTGATGCTAACACATTGTTCTGATTGGTCTACAAAGTCAGTGCTATAATGTTAACAGGCCAGCAAAATCTGAATGTATATGGCATAATGCTTTGGGGCAATAACTACTGGAGTTACACAAAACTTTCATTGCTATGAGAGTACGTGGTCTGTGGCCCGCTAATAGTGATGGTGACGCTGTATTGATGGGGCTACAATAGAATTAAGTCTCACTTCTGCAATGCCAAATAGCGTGATGTCATCCTGGCAAGTCTTTCCTTATGTCTCCCGTGGCTTCCTACAGCATGGCCAGAGGAGTGGAGTATGGAATATTTTTTGTCAGCTTGAAAATGAGCACAGAAACACAATTGTGTTTTCTTTTAAATGAACAAGAACTCCAAGCTCAGCCAAGTCACCCAGGAGACTGAGCCTATGTAACTTTATAGTACAAGGCTTTGTGTTTACTGCTAGGACAAAAGCATTGGGGACATAAATCAGGAAAGATCCCCTTGTTTTCACTCTCTGCTGGTGTGAAAGCTGTGTTTCCCCCCTAACCCCTGAGGGCTGGTGCTTGTACTAGGATGACAGAGAAGATTTGTTCTAAATCTTTTGTAAACTGAGAGAAAAACTTCCCAAATGTCTCAGCGTGGCAAACAGAAGGTTCAAATGATAAGGAATTGAAAAACAGAAATGCATTTGGCTTTTCTGACTTATTTTTAGTTATGCCAGACTGTCAAAATGCTATTATGTTACTGTACAACAACATATGAATCCACTCTGTTAGTAGAGCCACTTCACTGTAAACATTTAAAATTATTTTCTATGCAGTTTTCTGGTAAGAATTGGCTATGAGAGATCAGACACAGATGTGTTTCTCGTGTTTCAGGTGGAAGACTTAAATAATGGGCACTA